ATCCATTGAAATCTTCCTTCCCACAACCCACCCAAACAAATTTGGGGTTATCACCACCACTCGCGGGTTGTTTGAGTATAGTTTTTCCAAAACTAGGCTTAAGGTGGAATCGCTAAGATTTCCCCGTCCGACAAGATCTAATAGGTCAAACTAAAACAATTAAGTTATTATTGAGAGCTATCATAAAAATATGGTAGGTGTCTTACCTCATTTGACTGTAGACGCGTGTTTTTTAGGCCTTCCAGTAGTCGTTTATCTTCTTCCACGATGAACCACGGGTCGACCTCAGTCCCAAAATCAATAGTCGTAGCCCAGACAGTAGCTTTGTCAATATGAGCAATAGCATCCATCGCTCTGTGATAGTTCCTCATTGTAGTCAGTGCTCCAGCTGTAAACACACCAATACTTGGCACTTCAAGAAGTATATCCACCTCTCGGAGACCGTAGTTCTTCCCTTGGAAGGCCGATAACTTCTTGCTGCACTTACGCAGCATATCTTTAGGAAGAATTCGCGATATATCTTCGTCTCTTAGTACCGTCTTCTTCCGTGATAGTTTGCTTTTTTGGTGGGCGATTGGCTGCTTGGTTTGTTTTTCTTCAAAATAAAACAGCGGTATTGTCGGAGTGTCGTCTCTGCAGAATTGAATGTGTGGTCTTCATGTAATAGGGCGGAGAGCACCGATAAATCCAGCTTCATGTGATGCATGTTTGAATCGTGGTGAACTTTGGAAATTTCGCGATTCTTCTTGGCTTTCTTTGCGGATGCTTTCTGCTTTGGCCTACCACGCGGTCGGACTGGACTTGCAATTTCAAAATCATCCGTAGTTTCGACTGGCTCTGTAGTGTAGTGAGTATTTAACAGCTGTACAACTGCGATCGACTCTCTAGACTCAGTCGGTTGCATCTCGTCCGTAGTCGGGCATAGGTGAGGCACAGTCGGGGGCTGGTTTAACTCAGTCGAGGGAAGTGTTGGATTCCCCGGTGGTTCATCTGTCACAGTCATCGGTTCTGGCAACGTAGTTGAGACTTCCTCGAGCTCCGGTGGTTCGAACGCAATCGGGAACTCGTCAGACTCAGGCGGTGGTTGGTCGGGCTCCGGCGGGACCTCTTCAGCCTCGGGCGGGGGAGCATCAGATTGTAGCTGAGTCTGGACACACTGAGTGTCTGAAACTAGGCGATCATTTTCATGAAACTGTCGGTGCTTGAAAAGTTCAGCGACAGTATTCAACACTCGAAGAGCATCTCGGTACTCACGCATTCCCAGACTGCTCATTGTACTCGTGATAGCGCTTGCGACTTGGTTAGCTTCGCGGAACTTGCGATTAGCATTCCAAGCATTTGGCTCGGGTCTAACAATCCGTCGTATGCGAAAAGCCTTATCGGGTATGGTGGGAACTGTAAATGATGCTCGTAATGTTGACCGCAACCATCTCGGATGTAGCTGAGCCGGGATTATAGTCTCCTTCTTCAATGCCTTGCGCAAGTATAACACGTGTCTACAAGGAAGCAACCATGTACTCATGAACATACACGAACATCGCCAATTCCCCGTGTCCACATTGTACTCTTGATTGAGTTCGTCCAACGCATCGTCGTCGTGAGTCGTGTTCTTGATAAACATCACACCAGGAATTCTTTCAAAGAAACTGTATGTAGCACGCCCAACTGCATATGCGTACTGTTCAAAAATTAAATTGCAAGCGTGCTCGCCGGCTAGATTATATACGTACTGCAATTCTTTGTCGTATGGGGCGGGGTGGATAACGCCAATCTTGAACATTCGATTTACGAAATCTTTTTCTGCGAGCGATTGGTAGTACATCAAGGACTCTATACATTCGTCCAGCTGTATGAAAGAGTTCACGATGTCTTTAATTTGCTTCTACGAGGCCTCTAGACGATTGTTCGTGTTGTTTCCCAGCGTGACAGCGTTTTGGCGTTTGTAGGAGCACCATTTGCTTCTGCAATTATCCCAATTTCGTTTGAAATACGATTCGAAGGGATGCAGTCTCGCTTCTAGGTGATCCTCCTCCTCTTCATCTTCACGCTCAACCAGACCGGAACCGCAACCGACAGGCTCTACACGATGCCCGACTGCGTCTGCAGCGTGCCCGACTGAGTCGGTAGTGTGCCCGACTGGAGCACTATCTCGCTCGACGCCTCCCACAGTGATGACTTGGTGCATGTAACGTCGGTGCTTGTTGTATTCTCTCGCTTTTTGCATACACCAACAGGGAGACGATACCTCTCAACTGTTCTTTCTGCCACGGATTAAACCAGTACTCGTCGGCCTTGGCGATCTCCTCGGATAGGTACTTAATTACGTGAAACTGGCAGAGTAGAATCTTGACCCCAGGGAAAGCCGCCTCCAGCACACTCATTTCGGTAAAGTCCTTGTCAATGATGACACACTGCAGCCGCTTCGTAGCAGGATTGTTCAGTTTGAATTCTTCGATGGCTGCTTCCAGGGTTTCCTTCCGCTCATTCTGGACTAAGGCGTGCTGCACGTACTGCCCTTTACCAAAGGTGTCATGAATCATGAAGGAAAATACCTTGTACTTCGGTACGTTTGTTCCGTGTGTAGCATCGATAAGTAAGACCTCCGGAAAACGATCGTACAGATACCGCATGTGTTTTGTCTGCATTGTTATGCACGTAGCAATTTTCTGAAACAGCAAAAGGATTATAAGCGGTGGTATGAATAAATATCTGATCGATCATCGTGTACCTTGCTTTGTTGTGCCTCTACAAAAATTCTGCCCACGTTGCCGTCTTCTCCACAGAAATCCATCATCCACGCTTTCAAACGTTGGGCACTAGTTGTTGATTGGGTTGATTGATTCTTCAGCTTTCGTACCAGATTGTGTACATCCCTTATCGTCGGTGAACAGTCGGAATTCTCAGTAATAAACTGGTGAATGCTCTTCTTTCCTGCACCGGCCTTTTGTAGAACCCCCACGGTTTGCAGAACACTCTCCCCAACTGCTGTTCGGTTAATTGGGTAGTTTTGATACGTTGTCGAATCAACCAAGTGATTATGGGTCGTTCTCATCTTCGTAATACATACAACAAACTTGTGAGCTGATTTATCCACTTCTCGAACGCAGGCATTAATCTAAAAGACATTACAACGTTAGTGTGCTTGTATTATCCGCCAGCACCCGCCAGCACACACTAGGACCCGCCTGTATCTGCCAGCACCCGCCAGCACCCACCAGCACCCGCCAGCACCCGCCAGTGGATGGCTTACCTGTGTAGGACACTCGATCGAGCGAGACGCTTGACGTGCTCTCTTGCCCTTCCCACGCGGCTTGAGCTTTCCGGCGTGGGTGCACACCAGCGTCTTGGCGTACCGTTCCCATGTCTCCGGAATAGGTGTAGATTTTGAGCCCGTACGCTGGATAACGGCGTTTCTTTCGCCAACCTTCTTGTTTGTTCGAAGTCTGAACACCTGGATATCAATAGGCTTGTTAGAGAAGGTCATATACTAAGCAGACCAAATACACCTTACCTGGTACGTTTCCGCTTGGTATGTGCGGATGTACGTGTCGAACGCATCCCACGACTCGAAGACGGTGCGGCCAGGAAGGGGAGGAGTCGAATGCTGAGGATGAAGGTCTTCCGAGCGGCTTGATTTGTCTGAATGCTCCGTCGAACTCGACGTCGTGCCTAGCGCGAACTCGCTTCCGTCACTAACGCTGTTCTCGTCATCTACGTTGTAATCGCTGTCACTGTCCGATTCAGGGGGCACACGTTTCCGCGCCGACCGTCGCATTCGCTCCGCCGGGTTCATTGGCTTCCGTCGATCGGGGGAGGGGGGGGAATGCGTAATGAGTGGTTTGCATACACGTATGCATACACGTATACGTCGTTCGGATAGCTGGGAGGTCTGGAGCGATTTGAGACAAGAGCGTTCGTAGAGCGTCCATTTTTTCAAATCCTGAAGAGTCTCCACAGGCGGGGGTTCCAACCACTCTCCTTAAAATAAGACTCGACTTATAGCGTCGCGATGTAATCAAATTTCTATCTACCGAAAGATCGCATTGTGCAAAATGGGGAAGGGCCGCGAGTGGAGCGATGAAGACACCGTTCAGCTCTGTTTGTCGTGGCTAGAGACGTCTGAAGATCCGATAACAGGTACTGGTTAGAAGAAAGATACTTTCTACAGCCGAGTGTACCAGCATTGGCTGGAGCACAAGAATCCCGACACGGATGTGCGACAACGATGTACTCAAACAGTTCTCGACGCATGCGGAAACGGCGACGAAATGCCTCTATACATCAAAGCAGAGTTGCTGTTATAGTGAATACAATACAGCAGCGCACGTACGGGCATCGTAGGTAGGATCTTCCCCAAAATAGTCCTTCATCAGCCGTTCTCCCCACTGAGCCCTCTCTCGGTTCTTGTTGGCGTGTTTCCCTCGGTCTGAGCCGCCATGCTTGCGCTTAGGTATCTGCTGCATGTTAGCTATAAGGATGCTGGCATAAAACTCGTCGTCGGAGTCATCTTCCACGAGAGAAAACATACCCGGATTCCACCCAAGGAATCCTGTCTGTGCGTTTGGCAGTCTGGTCACAAATTGCAGCTTGGTATTGGCAGAAACTATAGGTTAAAACCTCCCTTAAGTCTCCCCGTTGGAGACTATTGTTGAGCTCGAGTCTTATTTTCTAATTTGGGGTTTCAAAGTCTCATTTAAGACTTAGGTTAAGTCCCGACCGGTGGAGATGCTCTAATCGATTCAATTGTCGCTGCGATACAAAGTCAATTTTTATCGTATTGAAGTCCATTTACCAGTACGCACACTTAAGTACTTCAACATTAGGATTCTAGATACCGCCGCCTGGTACATGTACTTTGACAAGAAGAAAGGCACCTAATCAAGTGGGAGTGTACTGTACAGTACCACGTGGCGAGGTCGACAGTGTCGACCTCGCCACTGTAAACCTCTACTGTACATGTACTGTAGTCTCGCTCGTTTTTTTTTTACAAACCATTATATTTAGTGATAAACTGATGAGGAATCCGAGAACGCTGACAAGGTAGACTCCGAGAACGTTGAAGCGCTATCGTACGAGTCGTGGTAGCCCGTTGCTTGGTCTTGAGCGGCCTCCTGAGTGCTACAGTTGATGGCCTTGCTCATGCACTGCGAGCAGAAGACGATCTTTCGCTGAATGAGCTCGTTCTCCTGTCCGATGAAGTACATTCGTTCTCGTACTTTGCACGAGTAGCACACGGTACCGCTGCAGAGCTTGCACGTGCTTCTACCGATACCCGGGATACTCTTACTTTTCCCGCACATAACGCACCCTTTCTGGAGTCGGTTGTCTTCTCGAAGCTTGAAGCCAGCGTGCTGACGTTGTAACATCCACGCCACTTTTTTCAGCTGACCACAGCGCACGTAGTTGGTCGCAGTGAGCATTGAGCTCGCTGCTGCTGGCATGAAGAGCATTCGCTTCGTCTTCTGTCCTGGGTCGATGATACACGACCCAAACGTGTCGATAATAGTGCTGTGGATGTGTCGGTAGAAGGCCACCGCTGAAAGATTCCCGCGAATAAGATAAGGGAGTGGCTTTGTTTGCGGGAATTCGATAGAATGTAGAACGTGGTAGCCGATGCGCTCGCCGTTCTCGAGCTGGAGGATATCTGTCGCCTCAATGACCACAAAGTCTCGACATTTGTGGGACTTCAACGCGGCATCTGTCGCCATCCACTTCACCGTTAGCGACCGGAAAGGTTCCTTTTCGCTTGGTTCCACTACGGGACACAGAATCGCACCACTTTCCACGTCTCCTACGTACGCTGCCTTGATACGCATCGTGTCCCGCGTCGTGTTGATAATCCCGAACATGAGATCCTCGAGCTCGCCTACTACAGTGCCGACAGTCATCATGACGGCCATGTCCTTCTCGTGCTCGCTTAACTGGATCGGGTTGTTCGGTATGAGTCCCTTACGTGCCTGATCCTTCTGAGAACGCTCGCTGTAGATATGGAGATCCTCCTTGGACTTGACATGTTCCCAGCGACGCTCGTCCAAGCGGTGTTGGTCTGTCACGAAGAATTGTTCATATTTCTGGAAATGGTTCTGTACACATCCGTTGACGAGCTCGATGAGCTCTTCTCGCTGTTGCTCGGTCACGTTGAGATCCGGGTAGGGATTCCTCGTGAACCCGTCCTTCGGCATCGTGCAACGCGCTCACAAGGGGAAAAATGCCAAGTGAGACGATTTCAAGTCCGTGCCGCCCATATGCTGCGGGCATCAACGGTTGGCCGGGTTGATTCAACCCGGCCTGACCGCTGTGTCAGGTCAGCAACGCCGTTCAAGTCTCATCCTTTGCAAAGGGACGACCGGGGACGACCGGCATGCAGCGTAGAATGTAGGCAGGGTCAGAGTAGAGACTGCACAGGGATAGACGCTAAATTATGCGGAGCATGTCGATAAAACAGCAATGCGTTTCGTGGTCACCGACGTGACCGGAGCTCTGAATGTTCAAAGCCGTTGTGTGCATGTTACCGTCGGGATGGTCCGACGTCGCGCTGTATGAGGTGGGAATTTTTCAAGTCGTCTTTATGTTCATGTGTTGATACCATTGCTGAAGGAGTGTTGAGTGTTCGGGTCGACAGGGTAAAGCAACGCAAAATGTGATAGGAAGCTTTGGAACGTCCAACTGGCGAACGTACGTGCCTTCCTGTCAAGCCGCAAGGACACTGCTGCGAGCTGTAAGTCTCATGTAAGACTGTAAGTTTTGCATGTACTTTACTGGTATTAATAACAGCACTTGAATCGCCAACAGATTATTGTTTTTTCGTGGGGAATATTTACAGTCTGACTTCTTCTTCAGGCTTACTTGAAGTAAATATTTAGAAACATATAACAAGCCTTCAAAACTATTACTTAATTAAGAGCACGTCCTAAAAGCGTGATTTTTTTTTCTGTCATGATCGCGTTCTTTTTTTAAACGGAAAATGTAGAGCCCATGTTTTTATCACCATGTTTAAAACTGTTATGTATCCATGTGTGACCATGTTTGTAATTTAAAAAAATCCACTCGGTAAATTACGAATCGCACAGCCACTCATTCTGCCACGTGACGCACCTCCCACCGCCGCTAACGAAGCTCTGTTGCCCCTGCCAGGCTGCCCAGCCTGCCGAACTTCAGGTAGTGTCTCCCCGCAGACGCATGTACTTATCGCGTCTCGTGGTCAACGATGTCTAACGCTGCTTGCCGTTTTCAAAGCTATTATTGCTGTATGTGCACCAGACCCGCAATTTCTCAGAAGCCCCGGGGCTTCAAACCTCAGCCACTCTCCCAGAACACGCCCCCCCCACTCTCCCAGAACACGCCCCCCCCTCCTCCCGTGCTATACTGGTACGTCGTGTGTCATGCGTGTACGTCGAATGCTATGGAAGCTAACTATTATTGCGTGGATCTAACAGTAACACGTGTGAGGTTACGGAACAAGACACGCGCCGCAAGCACGTGGACAACGAGGGCAGGTTGTGCTGCATACACTGAAGCGATCACGTATGTGTACATGCATTGAAGAAAACATGGACTCCATGTTTCCCGTGTTTATCCCATGACCTTACAATGTTTGCTGTGAATATGCTTGGTGTCTGCTAGAACAATGGTCCGTACGAGCAAGACTGCAAGTATACTTCGAGCCATGGCGGTTTCCTGCAGCAGCAGCAGCGACGACGCCGAGGCGGACTCTGGTTCGTCCGTGCAGAGTGACGTGGGCGTAAGTTCAAGTGTTATCAATAACGGCATACAAGCAGCTCAAGCCACGGACGCGCTTGACGAATACACCGTTGCTGATCTGGAAACAGCACGTCACGGTGATGCTGCGCAATCTGAAGAATCACTGCGTTCATCAGATGATGTGGAAGGCGCGGCTGGTGACACACTTAATGAAGAAGAGAGTGATACTTCTGGAACAAGCACAAGTACGCGATCGCGAAAGAGGACACTAATGGAGAGCAACGTGGAGCTCGAGTACGTCCCATCTTTGACACCGTTTCACAAGAATTGGAAGCGTTTCGAGGAATATCTAGCGCAGTACCAGAAAGACACTTCGACAGTACTGGTCGTGTCAGAAACGCTGAACGTTCGCTTACGCAATCAACAGATTAAGAAAATGAAATCTTTTTCCGGGAAAGCCGAGTCCGACATGCCGCTCGTCCCTGATTCCATGGACCCGTATCAGAGGGTGTATATCTGCACTCATGGTTGGAGGAATCGTGTGCGTTCGAAAGGCGTGCGCCCTTTGCATAGCGTGAGCGCAACGGAGTGCAAAGTACGGTTTGTGGCGCAAGTGGTGAAGAAAGCAGACAAGGAGTGGAGAGTCCAAGTGAAGCTGGCATTCTACGGACACAACCACCCTGTATCCGAGGATATATACCAGTCGTATCCGAAGGTCCGCCAACTACCTGCAAGCTCGCCCGTTATGCGTGATGTGGAGCTTATTATTGCCAGCGGCAGCAAATCCAGCCGCTTGTACGATTACATCCGTACCAATTCGCCACACCGTATGCAAATGCAGGACGTGTACAACCTTGTTGCCAAGATAAAGAAGTCGGGTGCGTAGTATTTCAATGTGGACTTTGTATTCGAGCGTGGCTAACAATCGGTTTTGTAGGCAGCACGCTATCCGACGAAGACCAAGTAGCAGAATTGCTGTTACAGTTTGGCATGGCGGCAGGGAGCAACGTGACGAATGTAGAAGTAAATTGTCGGGGGCACACGGCCGTGGTCTCTATCTGCTCGCAGCACATGCGCAAGTTGTACAAACGCTTTCCAGAGCTGCTTCTAGTTGACTGTACGCACAAGACCAACCGGTACGACACCCAACCATGTTTGACCATGTTTGGACCAGGTATTTATCATGTTTGAATGCATGGTGGATACATGTTACCCTATTCTGGCCATGTATTAACTGTGAAATGTGTATTTTATGTAGATACAACTACCAGCTGTGTACATTTATGGTCATGGACCAGTTTGGAAACGGACAAGCTGTTCAGCACTCTGTGATCGAGCGCAATGCTGACTGGCATATGCTCAAGCTGATCGAACATTTCCAAGCTGTGAACGATTGGGACGAGACTCTAGTAATCATGGTCGACAAGGACCTGAATAAGATTGCCGTTCTGAAAGAGATGTTTCCTACGGCGCGAATTTTGTTGTGCCATTTCCACGTGATCAAGTGGCTACGTGGCGCTATCCGACTTGACAAAAAGTACGGAACGTACCCGAGCGCTTTATTGCAGCAGTTGGATTTCTGTGTGGCGAACATGGTATACGCAAGGACGGAGGAGGACCTAAAGAATAATGCAGAAGAATTCAAGACTCTAGCTTGCCGAGATGGTCAAACCGCTCTGTGGGAGTACTTCGCGAACCCCTCCTGAAGATAGCGTGCCGTACCGTCTTCCCGAGGCTATGGTACAGAAAGCGCTAGCAGATATTGAACGCAGGACACCCTACGGTGAAGTTATGGATCTCAGTACGCCGATGGACGCAAGCGTAGAATGCTGGGTAGCAGACATAGATGGTGTGGGTGTGTTTACACAACGCCAGCTGATGGCGATGCAATTTTTGTGGAGCTTCTCTGCAGCATGCGCGAACGGCTTAAAATGCTACTCATGGCTGATGGGTAAGGTGGACATACTCTTTGACAATGACCAAGCCGCTTTGTTGGCTAAACGAATGATTGAAACATGGCCTGGTCAGCGCCTTCCGGGATTCGACCAGGGCTTTCACTTGGACTGGACGCATTTGTACTGTGCTCGAGATGGCTGCTGGTTCAACGACAATTTAATTCAAGCCTTCTCGGCGACGCTGTCGGCCAAGTACGGTGCCAGCACTACAATTTTCCTACCGCAGCTTAAAACACCGGCAAAAGATAAGGGCCATCGAATCCCACCACTGACGTTAAGTCTTGTAGCAGCTACGAACATGGAATGGGTGTTCATGCCGCTGAACGTCAATGCCAGTCATTGGACATGCCTCGCTGTGAACCAGCTTCAAAAAACCATTTACTGCTACGACAGTCTCGACAAACGCGCCTATCATAACTTGCTGGAAGAGTTGGCGCAAGAGCTCGTGGTCCGGAGCATGACGGAGCCGTACGAGATAATAGCTGTGCACAACCCCATCCAGAACGACGGTGACAACTGCGGTCTGTTCGTATGCCTGCTTTTCTGGCGCCGCGTGTACAAGGAGGCACCCAGAGATTATTCGAAGACGGGTTGTCTACGCCAGCGGTGGGATCTCCTTCGCAGTGTGGTGGACTTTAGTGACTCCAGCAAAAACGCAGATTAATTCGATGCTAAGTTTTGCAATACATGTTTACGTACCATGTTTTCCATGCTTGACATGTTTTAGTATCAGACACCTGAGATGGATACATTACGTAAGGTAGTTTCAACCCATGACGAATGTGGGGGTGAGGTGTCGCCGACAACACAGAATCCTCTTCACTCTTACTTTTTTACGTCGTACTGATAACATGTTTGGACATGTTACAAAACATGTGAAACATGTATAAGATAAAATACCGGACCTTCGTCATTTATTCCCAGAAAACATGGATGGCACCTGGAAATGTATCCATGATCACCATTGTTTCGATACCTAACCCTTTTTAAAAACACGGGCTGTATCGCCAGCCTTTTTTAAATCAATTTTATGTGACCCACATTTTCACTATTTGTTGCCATATGTTCTTAGTTAACTCAAGTGCAAGTTGCTACACCAATTTCACCAAGATGGCCCCTTGGCCTCTGTCGCCTACGTCTTCGGAGCCAACCCGGCCTCCCCCATGTCGTGGACTGCGTCTCTGTCTTCTTAGACTCTTCAGTGGACCTGTCACTGCTTTACGCCGTTAAAATCGGCTCCGTGAGGCTTCTGGAGCGTATTTGGACCATTTCCGAGAACTTGGAACACGATCCCGACCACCAATGGACACTTCGGAAGTACCTACGCACCGACAAACACTACGGACAGTATTTATTCTCAAAGGGTCTAGAGGACGCCGTTCCTCGTCAAGACATGGCAACGATCAAGTGGCTCTTGACCAAGTTTCAAGGATTCTCAATCTCATCCGAGGTGGTTACCAGAGCCTGCAAAGCTGGCGCGATGGATCTTTTGCAGTTGTTCTATGAGAACGACAGTCGTGTATTAGAACAAAGAGGTGAA